AAACCAGTCATTGGACTTGGGGCCTTTCTAATCCAGTGTGACCATATCTTAACTTGTCACATCTGCGAAGACTCCGTTTCCCAACAAGGTCCCATTCACAGGTACCGGTGGGGGTGGTTAGGACATGGACATATCTTTTGGGGGGCATCATTCCCCCCGGCGCGCGCAGCGTGGCCGGGGACGCGCCCGGGCCCACGCTCCCGGGTCGGGCCAGCGCGGGGCCTGCACACGCAGGTTCTCAGGCGACTCGGGGTCCGGCCCCGCGCCCCGGGGCGGCGCCCGCGCGGGCGGGCTGGCGGGGAGCTGTTCTCGCACACCGAGCGCGCCCGGGCCACGCTGCGACACCCGTGCAGCAGGAGCGGCCGCCCCCGCCTGGTGCGATCGGCGCCGGCACCCGGGGACTGTCCCCTCCGCCGCCGCGCTCCCCGCCGCGCCATCTTGCACCGCTGAGGCGGTGGCAGCCCAGCAGGGCAGGTGGGGGCGCGGCGGCGGGGGTCTGGGGACCGAGCCCCTCCCCCTGCCGTGGGAACCCGGAGGATTCCCGTGGAGCTGAGATTTAAGTTTCCTGTAATTGAGTCACTCATCCATCCATCCATCCATTCATTCTCTGGCCAGATGAGCAAAGCCCCTGGCAGGGCCCAGCTGGAAGGGGGGGGCATGGAGCAGGAGGAGGGGGCACCCACACCCCGCAGCCCCCCTGCAGGCCTTGAGGAGAGCCAGGATCCCTGTCACTGGCAGGCAGGTGGGCAGGGACGCAGGGCGGTGAGAGCCAGTCAGTCCTTGTAGAAGGTGCCAGGATGTTCCCTTCTTACTCTAAGGTGGCTCCTGTGGGGCCCCCCTTTCCCTCAGACATTAGGGGCCCCCTGGTGTGGGTGGCCCCACGCCACCTCAGGCCTGTGGAGGAGGACCCTTTGTCCGGAGCCTTCTTACTGGCCCTGATTGTGTGGCCACTGCTCTGAGTGGCTCTGCCCCACAGGTGTAGTGGCCGCTGGAGGGTCTGGCCTGTAGGACGTGCTCAGATCCCAGAGCCAGGAGGGTCAGAGGCCACTGGTAGCACTGATGGCTGAGGGCTGTGATCCAGGAGTAAACCCAGTGTGAGGGGGCTGTGTCCCCGTGGGAGACCTCCCCTTTCTGCCTAGGAGGCAAGCCCAAGACTGCACCACCCCCATGTGGAGGCCCTGCCTCTGCCCACCCAGGAAAGGGACCCTGATGCCTGGACCTCAGTGCAGCCAGGGAGGCACCTTGGGGACAGGCAGGGGGTGACCAGTGGCCTCAGTTGCCTCTGTCCAGAACCTCTGCACCACCATGGCTGGCCTCAGTGCCCGGGGTTGGAAGACGGCTCTCCATGACCTGGGTTTGCCTGTGAACACACACTGGCACTGGCACAGAAGGGCCAGATCTCAGGGGTTTTAGGGTTACAGGTCCTCCTCTAGGGTCCAGGTGGGGGAGGGGAAGACCCTCTGGGGCTCCGGGCCAACACTCACTCCATTTGATCAGAGGCCAGTTCTGCCCCGTGCACGGGGATCCTCAGATTTCACCGGAGCGAGAGCCCTGCTGCTCCCTTGGCGTGACGACCGTTGAACTGGAGGTGCTGAGTCCACACCATTGATCCGTTCCTTCAACCAGTACTTCCCACGTGTGGCCAGCCACCAAACTCTCACTGCTCACCGTGGCATCGGGAAGGCTGGCGCTGGAATTTAGGGGGAGGGTCTAGCTGCCTGCTACCTGGAGTTGGGGACCAGAACTGCTGTCCTTCCAGGTCCCCCAAGGCCCTCAAGTAGCGTGACAAGGCGGAATGGGCAGGTAAGAGCCCTGCGGCCCTGGAGAGGGCAGAGCTGAGAGGCTGGGGACTGGCATCCTGCCAGCAGGGCTCCATGACACTTTCTCCTTGGCCTCTGGGCCTGAGGGTCGGTGTCCTCACCACTGAGAAAGAGCAGAGGACCTGAGCTCCAGCGGCAAAACCTCATGCCTCATGTCCTGGATCTCCTGGCCAGTATTGGGACAGGGGCAGGGAGAGGGATAGGTCCACATGAACAAGGCATGCAGGGGTGAGGGTGGGCAGGAGGGGACCTGCCAGTCTGAGGGTGACCAGTAGTAGCCAGCTCACCTTGGGGCCAAGAGGTCCCTGAAGATATGCCCACCACCACCACCTGGGGGCAAGCAGAACCCCCCACAGCCCTCCGCAGCTCAAGCAGGGGCCACGCCTGACAGTGGTGGGGTCAGGGTGCCACATGCCTGAGTGACCACTGCCCTAGGGGTGCTGGTCGGTCACGATGTGCTTCCAACCACAGGACAAGGAGTGCACCTGGGCCCACAGAGACCAACCCTACAGGCAGGAGCCTCAGGCCAGCCGTGTGTGTGTGTGTGTGTGTGTGTGTGTGTGGTGGGGTCACAGGGCACGGGGCTGATGGTGGGAAGGTCGTCTTGCCTGCCCCACACCAGGGACCGTGCGGGGAGAGCAGCCTCCCTGGAAGGAGCTGGCCTGAGGGGACCAGGCCCAGCTGGAGCCGTGTCTGCGGGGAGCTGGGCCCGGAGGAGACCCAGGAAAGCCTGCGGCATAAGTGGGATGAGGGGAGAGGCCACCCAGGTGCAGGAGCTTTGGGGTGGGGTGGGGGCCACACTGGACAGGAGAGGTGAGTAAGACACCAAAGGCACAAGACTCAGTAATCACATCCATCAACAGATGGATGTGTAACACGCGATGCCATGTTACAGGTGAACGGGGACGCACCACGCCATGTTACTGATCCATAAAAAGGAGTGAGGTGCTGACACACACGACGACATGCATGAACCTTGAAAACTTGGCGCTCAGTGAGATGAGCAGACACAAAGCACAGAAGTATGATTCCTCTCACGTGGGGTTCCGAGACTACTCCAGCGCACAGACGAAAGTGGGTTGGCGGCTGTCAGAAGCCCAGGGGCAGGGGAACCAGGAGTGACTCTTTTTTTTTTTTTTTTAAATTTATTTATTTATTTTTATTGGGGAATCGGGGGGATAGGAACAGCGCTGGGGAATTGGGGGAAGGGGAACAGACAAGTTGCTGTCCTTTTGTTCTTCAGTCTAGTTGTGGAGGATGTTGCTTCACTGGCCCAAGTTGGCACCATCATTGCGCTCTTCCCGGGTGAGGCAGATCAGTTGCCAGCTTCTGGACGGCCACTCACGCTGGCTGCTGGCCGCTCACGCTGGCTGCTGGCTACACACCGTAGCCCATGGCAACTCGCTACACACGGTAGCCCATGGCTGCTGGCTACACACCGTAGCCCATGGCAACCCACTGCCACAGGGGCTGCAGCCTACGCCGTCGCCGGCGACTCACGGCAGCCCAGCTCCAGGTTGAGCTGTTGTTCAGCATCTTAGCTGTAGAGGGCAGTGTCACTGGCCCTCATATGTGGGATCCGAACCGGGGCCCTCTGGCATCCTAAGCAAGTTCTTAATCATCGCGCCACTCGGCCGACCCCGGGAGTGACTCTTAAGGGGTACAGGGTGATGGAAATCTGCAATTAGACCCTGTGACTAAGCTGTTAAAAACACTCACTTGTACACTCCAAAGTGGTGAACTCTATGCGATATGAATTATATGTATCTCAATAAAGCTGTCAGAAACAAACTTACGCATCAAGGCAACTAATATTTTACTGCAACATGTTACAGTCAAAATTAGTGAGGAAAAGCCAGGGTGAGGAAAACGTCACACTTCTGAATCAAGGCGGGAGCAGGAACAGAGCTGCCGCCCGGGACCTCCGTTGCCACATGGCTTCCCATGGGTCACCTCTTCTTATAAGAAACCAGTCATTGGACTTGGGGCCTTTCTAATCCAGTGTGACCATATCTTAACTTGTCACATCTGCGAAGACTCCGTTTCCCAACAAGGTCCCATTCACAGGTACCGGTGGGGGTGGTTAGGACATGGACATATCTTTTGGGGGGCATCATTCCCCCCACTGCAGAGGTGAAGGACATGGGGCAGGGCCGTGGGGACAGGGTCAGCACCTCTGGAGTCCCTCCTATAGTAAGTCACATTATCATTTCTGCCCTGGCTCCAGCCCACAAACCCAGCTGCCGGGTAACACAGCGGGCATCACAGGGCCCAGGGGTGCCCCTGCTTGCCAGAACGATCACCCAGCCGGCTCCTCCTACTCACATCCCTTCACCTGCCGCCCAGCCCACCCACTTCCTGCTGCTGCTGGGGAGTAGCCTGGCCTGGGGGCGGAGGGAGGGGACAGGCGCCACTACAAAAGGGAAGGACTGTCCCCCGCCTGAACTTGCCCAGAGATAGCCCCCAATCTCAGAAGAACCCCTCCCTGACAAGCCCACCACCGCAGCTGTGCTCCGCATGGTGGGGGTGAGAGGGGCTTCTGGCATTTGCCAAAGAGACCCCAGAAAACAGGCTGCAGCCACCAAGGGTGCCCGGCCTCCCTAGGAAAGGGAAGGTATCCAGAGTTCTGAGCTGGCTGGAGGTCCCCCAGTGTCCCCCGGTCCCCTCAAGGGGACCCACCATGATCTCAGAAGAGGTGTGGCTCAAAAGAGCTTCATCCTGGTGTAAAGAAGGGCCAAGGCGGCCGGTGAGCTCAGGTGGTGAGAGCGCAGGCTCAACACCAAGGTTGCCTGTTCGATCCCCACATGGGCCAAGGAGCTGCGCCCTCCACAACTAGCTTGTGATAACAACGACTTGACTTGGAGCTGACGAGTCCTGGAAAAACAGACTGTTCCCCAATAAAGTTTTTAAAAAGTAAAAAGAAGAGCCAGTTCCTCTTGCATTTCTAGTGCTCACGTCACAGGGCAGGGCTGGGCTCCTGGGGTCCCTGCAGGTGGCCCAGGCTGCAGCAGGAGGGACTGGGAGCAGGAAGGGGCAGTGCCAGCCCAGAGAGGGTCTGCTCAGCGCATACCGGGGGCCAGTGAGCTGGGGCCAGGGCCGCAGGCGAGAAGGGGCCGCTCGCCTGTGGACAGAAATGAAGCTGAGGGTTGGCCCAGGAGACCGGCCATCTGTCAGCTGGCGGCAGGTGCCGGTTCTAGGAGCCCGCCTGTGCCCTCCCCGCCCCTCATCGCGTGGCCCGGGACGCCGCCGGCCACGCAGGCGGTGTCCCCTCCCTCCCAGAAGCCAGGCGGAGCGGGGCTCAGCACTGGGCCGGTGCTGCCTGTTTCTTGATGTTTCTGTTTAATTTATGCGTTATTAAAAGCATTGTTTCTCACTCTGCATATTTTTTTGGTTGAGGTGAAATTCACAGGACATAAAATAAACTATTTTAATGCGAAAAAAACTAGTGGTCTTTGGTGCATTCACAGGGTGCAGCCACCACCACTTTCTAGTTCCAGAACCCCCAAAGGAGACCTCGTACCCATAAACACTCGCCCTCCATTTCCCGCTCCGCCAGCCCCCGGGCAAGCACCAGCCTGCTTCCTGTGTCTGGATTTGCCTCTTCCGGACACACATAAATGGAGTCACACTGTATGGCTGTTGCGACTGGCTTCTTTCACTCGGCAGCGTGAGGTTGTCAGGGTTCCGCGTGCTTTGCTCCTTTCACGCCAGTAACAGTACGCTGTGGGGCACACACACGGAGAGGGGGTGAGTGTGCTGCGGGGACAATCCCACAGTGTGAGTGTGGACCCGCAGGGCAGTGGCGCCCGGGCTGCAGAGCTTAGGGTAACCCTTAGAGAGAAGGATTCGGCAGGTCCACAGACCCATTGCTCATCCTGGTCCTCACACGCTAGTGAACGGGAGACATAGCCCCTCGGACAGAGACACACGTCAAAACGGCGTCTCTCATGACAAAGATGCTGGGGCCTGCTGAGGGTCCAGCAGCAGGTGGACAGTCAGGAAAGACACAGGAACGTCCTCTGCTCGCTGGCCTAACACGGGGCTGCTTTAGGTCGTGGCCGCACAGAGTGGCGGGGCTGCTTGATGAACAGTCACAGGGAGAGAGCAGGTCTCAGGGCCGTCTCAGCACGGTCTACGATGACAAGTCAGAAACTGGCACAGAGGGGAGCTAGTGGTTTAGGGGGTTGGGAAGAGGCTGCACCAGATGTCCTGTCCCGTCATTACTGGGGCACAGCATCGCTTGTGCAATACAACCACCAACCGCCTGGAGAATGAATGACAGTGAGGCGCCTTCCCCCAGCAGCCACGGCCAGGTGGGGCCGCGATGGCGGGTCCCTCTCCGGTTCCCCCCCCCGCCCTATTCTCACCTGGTGACTGCCCTGTGAGGGCCCTCCCCAGGGAGACAGCTCTGCCTGGAGTCACACAGCCTGCTCCCTGTGCCCATTGGAACCATCTTAGCCTGACAGAGACCTCCTTTTCCCTCTCTTGCCTCCATGGCCAGCCCTGGCATGGCTCTCTGGCCCCTGCAGTGACCCAAGGACAAAGGATGGCTGCCCAGCCCAGCTCCTTACCAGGGGAGGCCTCATTGTCCAGTGTCTTCTGCTGTCTTCTTGGTCACGCTGGCCAGCCCGCACCCCCTAAGCGACGCTGGTAGGCCCAGCCAGCCATCTCTGGGCCTGTAATGCCCCCTCATCTCCACGAGGCCAGCAGGCAGGGTGGGACCTCCATGTGACAGAAACTCCGTCCTCTCTCCCCACCCCCACCTCAGACTCAGAAAGGCCGGCACTGCTGATGGCCAGTCTGCCCATGCCAAGTGCCAGTGAGCCCCTGGGGATAACCAGCGCCAGGTTGGAGTGCCCAGGAGGGGCGGGGTGGGGGGACAGCTGCAGCCGCAAGCTGTAAACAGGCCCGGTGACTGCAGGTATAAAAGCTGGAACCCCAGCAGTCTCTCAGCAGCCCCATCTGACCCGCCTCTCCAGAGCCCTCCAAGGAAGCCCGAAAGAGGTGAGCCCTGCCCAGAGAAGGGTGTGGAGGGGTGCCGAGTGGCTCAGGGGGAGCTTGGGGCCCTGTCCTCACTCACAGAATGAGGGGAGGCCCTGGGAGCTGCGGGGACCCCAGGGAGGTCCAGGGGAAGCAGGAAACAGGGGAGTAAGGGGAGGGGCAATGCCGAGGGTACCCCCATCCCAAGGCAGCTTTGGGTGCCTGGGTCTGCAGGGTAGACACGTGCAGGCCCGAGAGTGTCCCTGTGAGCCAGGGTCAGCCTAGGAGGCTGAGGCTCGCTCACTGACCCCAGACCCCCCAGCTGCTGAATGCGGGGCGGGGAGGCCTGGCTGGGCTGAGGGTCCAAGGCCAACGGTCCCACTGACGGTGGCACACCGAGCTGGCTCTGGGGCCCCGCGGCCCCGTAACTCCCTAACACCTACTCCGGCCCGAGGCCTCTTTCTCGTGTGAGCACCCGAACACACCGATTCACTGGTCAATGCTGGAAGCAGACTGCAGCCCTCAGGAGGGCCACGTGGCTATCCAGTGTTCGGGGTAGGGGGAGGTTTTGCCAGTCTTGGGGGCATCCAGGATACAGGATGCTGGGACACGTGAGGGTCTGGGGGGGTCTTAGCCAGGCCTCAAAGCTCCAGCCAGCTTTGGCTGTGGAGGGCAGTAAGGTGTGAGGGCAAGCAGGGAGGCCTTTGCAAGGGAAAGGATGAGGGGACAGGGCCCTTCCAGGCACTGGGGGCACGCAGGAGGCCAGGCAGGGGGCCTCAGCCCACCCCGGCAGGACATGCCAAGTGCGCCTTCAGCCCAGGCCCCGGACTGGCAGGAACAGCCCAGGGTACCCACGTGCTCGCAAAGAGGATTCGACCCTGGGATCGACCAGGCCTGACCTGGACTTTGGCCGAGCCTCTTCATGGAGTGGGTGACACTGGCCTCTGGCAGGGCCCTGAGTGGCAGGCAGGCGTCCCCTCCCTCAGAATGAACCCTGAGATTCTGGGGTGGGAGAGAAATACCAGGGTCTCAGCCCAGGATGTGGGGTGGTGGGGCCTGTCCTAGGGGCCTCTGTGGCCCAGACCTGCCCCGATCCCCACTGACAACCCCTGCCCCCCTCCCGTGCTGGCTGCAGGAGTTGGCCATTTGGGGTGACACGTGGGCACCCAGCTCCAGGCCCACTGCAGGGCCCAAAGCCCTCTCCCCACCATCTCCCTTCCCTCGTGGCTCCTCGTGCAGCCCTGTGAAGGGGCAGGGCGGGCAGGGGTGCCCCACTTCACAGACAAGGAGCCCGAGCCCCAGAGCTCAGGCATCAGGGCGGCTCCTGGGCTGTGTCCAGTTCCCCTGCTCCCCGAGGACCTCACGGGTAAGTGCGGCCTTTGACCTGTGGCTTCTCCCCTGGGAGGAAAGTGGAGACCTCCTCCAGCCACTGCACAGCCCCACTCAGACTCATGGGCCACGAGGCTGCCCCTCCCGGTGGCAGGAACATGTTCCAGAAGGCTCCACCAACCCGTGAACTTTCGAGAGGGCCAAGGAGCCTCTGAAATAGCTGCTTTGTCGCGAGCCCCAGAACCCAACCCCCCCTGGGGACAGTAAACCGAGAGCTCAGTGGATCACAAGGTGCTGCTGTGAGGGGCACAGGACGGCCCAGTTCCCGAATGCTGGCCCCTCGCCTGTGCCCAGACCCTCGCCTGCCTGGCTGGAATCCCCGCCTGCCACGGTGGTTCTTGCTTGACGCCGACTCTCCGTGAAGTGGGGCCAGTGACACACACCTGCTCAGGGGCTGTGGGCAGATGCACCTCAGGCTGGTCCTCCTGAGGACCTGGAAAAGGGCGGTGGTCACCCCACTTGGATGGAGAGTTCCAGGCCAGCTCCAGACTGGCCCATGGCCAGCACGCCCCACCACAGGTGGTCAGCGTCCAGCCAGGATGACCAGGGCCCACTGATCTAGAGACTAGACCAAGCCCCTGGGCCTTGAGTCTCAGCCAGAGGAAGTGGTGCTTCAGGTAACCAGGAAGGCTTCCTGGAGGAGGCAGCCTTGGGATGGGCCTTGAAGGACTGAGAGAATTTCCCCAGCGGTACCGAGGGGTCAGATGGTTGCCACTTCCACCTCTTCTGAGCAGAGTAAAGGAATTGGTGCGCATCACTTACCATCTCAGACCCTCAGTCTTTTCTGTGAAATGGGGGGTACCTCAAGGTGGCCAGGCAGCAAGAGGTGAAGGCTCAGGCTCATGTCCCTCAGGGCTTGGGAACAGGGGCCTCTGCAAGGCCAGGGGCCCCAAGGCGGCTGGGACAGTGAGCCCTCTGGCAGCCTCTGCAGCCCGAGGGCAGCTGGGAGTCTGGTCTGGGCCCCTGGGAACCCCACTCGGGGGCAGGAGCTGGCACCACGCAGGGTCCCGCTGTGCACACCACTGCCTGTCCACTGCAGGGCCAGGATGGATGAGGACTATTCCTCCCAGATGAAGAAGGTGGCCTTGGCCATGGGCACATCCCTGTCAGACAAGGACATAGAGCTGCTGCCCGCAGACATGAGGCACCACGGTACCGCCCGCCCCCCACACCCCACGGCACCCCTGCCCTGTCTGTAAGCTCCCTTCCCTGGGCTGAAGGGCCCAGGACACACGGGGAAGGGACAGGGCCCACAGCCCCCACCCCGGGGCAGGGGTCTCCCCCTCGGCCCGAGCGAGGTGGCCGCTGACCTGAGCCTGGTCATCCCAGGTTCCTTCAACTACCTCAAGTTCTTTGAGTACATGCATAAGTTCCAGGCCTCAGGGCAGCTGGAGGGAGTCATCCACAAGGCCTTCCAGACCCTGGACAAGGACAAGAGTGGCTTCATCGAATGGAATGAGATCAAGTGTGTAACAGCCAGTGGCCGGGGATGGGGGGGGGGTGCACCGGTCATACCCAACCAGCAGACCCGGAACCCCAGTGGGCTCTACCTGGCCTTTCAGAAGGCAGGGCCACAGGGACAGCACCAGACCCAGGCCCAGGGCCCCCCTCCAGCTGGGTCTCAGTGTCCCTACCTGTAAAGCAAGGAGTAAGCCCCTTGCAAACCATCGGACACTGGCCAGATGCCCCCAGCTCTGACCTGAGCCCCCCCTCCCCTGGCCCAGGTACGTCCTGTCCACCATCCCCAGCAGTGGGCCTGCTGCCCCGTTGACGGACGAGGAGGCGGAGGCCATGATCCAGGCAGCTGACACTGATGGGGACGGGAGAATTGACTACGAAGGTGGGTGCACAGACGGGGACCCCCCCACCCCCTCCAGGTCCCACCCCCGTGGTCACTCGCACTTGGGCAGTTTGCACTGCGTCATCCATCGTCATCTCCGTGCAGAGCCGTGCGGCTCCCCGGTCAGGTGCAGACCCCCCATTTCCTGAAGCTTACAGGAACTGTGGTGGGCACCATCCCCAACTCACAGATGGGGAAACTGAGTCTCAGAGATGCTGAGTGGGGCAGGGCCGAGGGGGTGCTGCGAGTTTCTCGCTGGCGGCCTGAGCCAGCTCTGGGGACGGTCACCCAGGCTGAGGGTCAGTGGTAGGTTAGCCAAGGAGGAGAGGTCCGAGGCGTGGAGGGAGGTTTGGAGGCAGGAACCAAGGCCTGGGAGCTGCAGAGGTGGACACAGGCGGACGGAGGTGGTGTAGGCCGAGGGGGGCCCCAGGGGAATCGGTGTGGGGGTGCCATGTTCAGGGATGTAGCCTTCCTCGAGGTTCTCCAGAGCTGCTCTGGGGTCTGCGTCATCCTGCCACTCCCCCACCCTCCCCAGCTGCTGGCCCCTGGAGGGCAGAGGGCAGCCAGGTGGCCCCGAGGAAGGGCCAGCACAGGCTCAGGGCCCCAGACCGGCCTCCAGACACCCCTGCCAGCTGTGCACCCATCCTCACCCCCGGAACCCCACTTCCTGCAAAACGACTCACAGGGTGGCCACAAGGCTTAACACGCCATGGGGTTTGCTTAGGATTCAGCCCCCAGCCTCTCTGTGCCTCAGTTTCCCCACTGAAGGCAGGATGGTCACAGGAGCACCTGCTCAGGAGGCACTGAAGGGAATTCCAGGGGGTCCCCGCAGAGACCCAGTCCATCGTGAGCCCCAGAGGGGGTAGCTCAGCACCCCAGGCAGGCGGGCGCAGAGCACCCAGCAACTATGTGGGTGCTCGGGCAGCGCAGCTCTGGTTTCTGCTGCTCCCGCCGCAGAGCTCAGGAGAGCAGGGCCGAGGGCCCGTGGGGTCCCTGTGCATAAAGGGGGGCCCGCCTCCCTGTAGAGCTCACAGGGCTTGAGGGCCACAAGACACGAGGTTCTTTACTAGAAATCTGTCTCCTACTCCAGAATTTTCTGAACTGATCAAACAGAAGAAAATTCCGAAGAAGAAGTAATGCCACACCCAGCCCCGGCCCGTGCGGTTTCCTGAGGGGCAGCGGGGACACGTGTGTGCCCCAGCGAGGCCGCGGGAGTGGACACAGCCTGTGCCAGGAAAATGGAAGGAAACCATTAAATGAATGACGTGCCCATGTGTGTGTGGGGGCAGGGTCTCGGGTCTCTGCGGACGGCTGGGGGCAGGGCGGGTGTGTGCGGTCCCCCCGGAAGGGGACGTGGGAAGCTGTGCAGGTGGGCACAGGGGCAGCCCCTGCCCCTCTCCTTCCCCTGTCCCCGCCTCACCGCCGGCTCCCACGGAGGGTGGCCCCACCACCAGCCCCGGCCCCTCGTGGATCTGCACCCCCAGCATGGTGTCCTCTGGGCCCAGACCCCTCAGGACTCCCTTCCCAAACCCAGCTGGGCTCTGCTCAGGCTTCTGGGGTCCCCACAGCCACCCGGGGTCCAACTGGCAGCTGGGTGAGCACAGCATCGGGACACCTGCAGCCCCAGGTGTGGCCGAGGGGGGCTCTGGACTGTCCCCTGGGCCGTGCACCCGGGGCTGGACACACGCAGGGGTCAGTCTGCCCGCGTCTCCTCGCTTCCTCCTGCCGCCCCTCGATGGCCCCTTCTCCCCAAGCTCTTCCTCCAGGAGACGCCCGACCTGCCCCCCGCAAGCCTTTGCTCCCCGCACTCCAGCCCACCTGGTCAGCTCCCGTTTTGTGGTTTAAGTACCACCTGGACCCGGCAGCTCCCACCCTGACCGCTCCCCCAAACTCCGACTCCTATGCCTGTTTTGGCCCCGATGCCCCACTTCATGTGAAAGAGGCGTCTGAAATCCACGGCCGAAGGCTGAGCTCTGGGGGGCAGGCAGGAGTGGCCATGTCCTGCTCCGCCTGACAGAAGGGAAGGGCCTCGTGCAGATGAGGACAAGGGCCTGACGCACGCAGAGGCATGGCTGACGGACAGGCCCACGATGAGTCCCGCGCAGCCCTGTGGCCTGGAAGTGGGTCTGAGAGGGACCTTTGCTGGGACTCTCACCAAATCCCCCAGGGCCCTTAGAGGGTGAGGGGGGGCCTCCGCTTCCATGGAGCGGCCCTGTGGCGGCCTCACAGGCGGTGGGGTCCCCACACCATGCGAGCAGGACCTTCCGGGCCAAGCGGCCTGTTCCCAACGTCCTCGGCCCAGGCAACAGCAGAGACAAAGCCCAGCACGGGGGGAGGGGGGGGGCAGCAAGCCCCCAAGGAGGAGCACCCCATCTGCCGCCATCCACCCTCCTCGCGGGCAGGGCCTGTTCAGTGCCCATCTCTCCAGGGCTCCAGGCTGTCACACCTCCAGGGTCTCCTGGGAGCCACTGCGGGGGGGACACACAACAGCAGCCTGTGGGCTGGGGCGCCTGGCACGGGTGGGAGAGGCTCAGAGCTCCTTCCAGGGCGTGGTGGGCTGTGGGTGCCAGGGCGCTCGGCCAGCGCCAGGCTGAACAGAGGATTCCACTGGGAGGATGGGGGGTCAGGCTGAGAGCAGAGCTGGGCCAAGGCCACCCCTGCCAGGCCGCTCTGTGGAGGGGACCCTCTGGTGGCCTCCGTCAGGGCCCCAGTCCAACACAGAGACGAGGGAGGGCACAGAGAATATTAAAAAACAGCTATTTACTGTTAAAATGCATCCACGCTGCTCTACCCGGAGGACACTGAACCCAGGGCAGAGGGAAGGAGGGGAGGCCGGGGCCTGGGCCGTGTCCACCTCCCACCAGGATCCCCAGCCCTGCTGCTGTCGGCCTGTCCACGCCGTGGTGGTGGGCGGTCACTTGGTGCTTGGAAACGGCCGCCTGCGCTGCTCCAGCAGCTCCTCCAGGTGGTCGGCCCGCCTCACCGCGGCCTGCAACACGCAGCCCGTGTGGTCAGGCCTGGCTGCTGGCCCCTCCCCGGGCTGCCGCAGCCACAGGGCAGCACCCACCTCATGCTGTTTCCGGAGACTGCTCACGGCCGCCTCCTTCTTTGCCAGGGCCGTCTTCACCCTGCAGGGGAGCACCTGGGGTTCTGTGGGGTGCCCCCTCCAGACCCCAGGCTAGCCTGCAGCTCTGAGCACCGCAGGGTGGCTGGTGGGGGCCTCTACCCCCAGAAGAGGAGTGGCAGCTGTCCTGGCCACCCTGTCCCCGTTCTGCTGACCTCAGCACTGGGCCGACTGGAGGGGTTGATGACAGAAGCTGTGACCCCTGGAGCCAGCCCCAGACCACTGCCTGCAGAACCAGCCTCCGTCGGAGTCAAAGACCATAGCGGGGACCCTGACATGCGCCTCGGGGAGGCAAGAAGCCCCCACACCACGTCACCTCTCAAACGCCCATGCTGGGTGGGTGGGCGGATGGGCAGGTGACCCAGAAGAACCAAGGGGTCCCTTGGGTGTGGGGAGCCCTCATTGTTAACCTCTGGGGGCCTCCACCCTTTCTGCACAGCGCTGGCTTCAGCCAGGCTGGGGGCCAAGGAGCTGCCCCTCTGGAGACACACCTGGGGTGCCTGCTGTGGCCTGGCCTCCTGGGACGCCTGGCACATGGACTGCCGGCTTCTTCCCAGGCCCTGGGGCCTCAGACATGGAGCTCACAGCAGATGGACTGCCCCAACCCTCACCAGCTGGGAGGCCAGCGGAGGCCCTGTGGCCGCCCCTTGCCAGTCTCAGCCGGAGCTCCAGCCCCCTGCACCCCCTCCCCGCATGCCCTCCAGGACCCCAGCCCGGCCCTGCACCCACCTCCCATGCATTTCCTCCAGCTCTGCCTGCTTCTCCCGCGTAAGCTGCTCCAGCTCCAGCCGCTGGCGGGCCCGAAGCTCGGCCAGCTCGGCCCTGATCTGCCGGTTTTCCTCCTCGGAGGCCGTCAGCCGGTCGGCAAACTCCTGGCGGAGCACCTGAGCCAGGCTGCCCCGCTCACCGGCCAGCTGTTCATTCACCTGGGCCGGCACCAACGGTGTGAGCCTGTGGCAGGCAGCGCACTGCCCGCCCCCCGCCTGGGCCTTGCCTCCCGCTCCCACCCCACTCACCGCCCGCAGGTCCGCCAGCTCCTGGTCCTTCTGCCGCAGCAGGCCCTGCAGACGCATGCTCTCGCCCTCGGCCTCCGCCAGCCGCCCCTTCAGCTCTGAGCACCGTTCCTGGAGCTTCCGCTCCGACTGCTCCAGCTCCGAGAGCTCCGCCTCGTACTTGTCCCGGACACGCTTGATGCTGACGGGCAGAGGCGCGGGGTCAGGGGCAGCCCGTGCAGGCACCTGGCCTCCGAGCCGCGTGCCCCAGAGCCCCGTGGGAAGAGGCCTCACCGGCTCTCGGCGGCCCTGTCACTCTCCTCCCTGGCCAGCGTCGTGTCGGCCTCCAGCCGGCGGATGACCAGCTCAATCTCCTTGTCGCGGCCTCTCCGCATCTCTTCCTTCAGCTCCCGTTCCCGGTTCAGCAGCCACGCTTCCTGGGGGAGTCGCACGAGGCTCAGGACTCCACGGGGCCAGAGGAAGGTGGAAGGAGGCTCCCGGGACACATGGATTTGTGGGGACGGAGGGCCCTTAGCACAGCTGGCGCAGCTGCCAGACTGGCCCAGATGGAAAAAGGCACAGCGTCCTGGTGCTGAGGGCAGCCAGGCGCCCCATGCCTGGGGTGACAGCGTCTGTGGGGCAGCCTCTCGGGCAAGGGCGGGCATTGGATGTCAGGAAACTCCCATCAAGTTTAACGGGACGCACCCTTTGGCTCAGCCAGCCCAGACTCGGTGACCCCTGCAAGCACGGTTGTGGGAGTGGGACAGGGTGCTGCTCGGCCACCACTGAGGCTGTCCCCAGGCTAACGGGCCAGTGAGCACAAGCCATCGCCTCATGTGTGGCCCCTGCGCGTCTCTTTCCAGAACAGGAAAGCCTGGTGGTGCCATCCACCCCTTGGGGGGCACTGGGAGACAGGAGGGCGGTCTGCCCTGTGTGTGCCCTACACAAGTGGCCTCAGTTAATTGTGAGAGCAGCTATCCGGGCAGAGAGGGGCCAGGGACCCTCTCCGCTGTGGTCACCTGGAACCTGCCACAGCCACTCCGGTGTCCCCGGAGCCCACTTAGGGGACGGGCTGACGCAGCACCTGGCATGGCTGAGAATGAGCCGCCAGCCCCACCTCCTTCTTGGCGCAGCTGGCCTCCCACATCTGTCTCTCCACATCCAGCTGCTCCTTCAGGGCCTGCAGCTCCATCTGGGGGCGGGCGACACGGTGAAGCAGGCCTCGCCGGCTGCTGCCCTGGGTGTACCCGCCCAGCCACGCTGAGGGTCTGCAGGGAGCGGGCTGGGGGGCCCGCAGAGGAACCCAGGCTCCGCCCAGCACCCCAGGGGGCTGGCCCTGGTGGTGCCCCGACACAGTACCCCCTTCTCCCCCAGAACAGAGCACGCCCTAGGTGGGCAGAGGGGGCAGGCGGAGGGGACGAGGCAGGGACGGCGGTGCAGACCTGGTGCCTGCGCTCCTGCTCCTCTCGTCCCTTCTCGAACTCGGCCCGCAGAGCCCTGGCGCCGGCCGAGCTGCTGTCCTCCAGCTGCTGCCTCAGCTCCTCCAGCTCGCCCCGCTGCCTGCAGGCCCAGCAGAGGCCAGTTGGGGGGCAGAGGGGAAGGGGGTGGGGGCAGGGGCTGCAGGGGCGGGCAGGGTGGGCAGCCCCTCCCACGGCACCTGGCTGCCTGCTGGCCCAGCCGCTCCTTCTCCGCCGCCACCTCACTGTGAAGCCGCAGCCGCAGCTGCTGCAGGGCCCGCTGTTCCTGCTCCAGCTGCTGCTCGAAGCTGCCGGGTGAGGGGAGGGACAGGCCTCTGTGCTCAGCACCTCACTCTGGGGACCCCGACCTCCCTGTGGGGGCCCCGACCTCACTCTGGAGGCCCCAACCTCACTCTGGGGACCCCGACCTCACTCTGGGGGCCCCGACCTCACTCTGGGGCTCCGACCTCACTCTGGGGGCCCCGACCTCACTCTGGGGCCCCGACCTCACTCTGGGGCTCCGACCTCACTCTGGGGTCCAGGCACATCCCAGCTCTGGGCAGACCTTTGCCCCACCCTCCCGGCGAGGCCGCCAGCGCAGCGACACCCACCGCTGCTGGGCGCGCTCCCGCTCCTGCCGGCACAGCGCCTCCTTCTCGTGCTCCAGCTGCTCCCGCAGCGCCTCCGCCTGGTGCCCATAGCGCTGGGCCGCCCGCTCATCCGCCTGCAGCAGTTCAGCCGCGTGCAGGCTTCTGAGTTTCTTCACCTCCTGCTTGTGCTTGGCGATCAGCTTCTGGATCTCGGGCTCCAGGCCTGAGGGGGCACGGCGCTGCAGATACCCCTGCCCTCTGCCCACTACGCTGCTAGGGCCCTGCCCTGGCCCCCTGTGTCGCAAGCAATCCCCAGGGACCCCCATTCTCACCCACTGCGACACCAGGGCTGCAGTCCAGCCAGGAGACTGCCCCCCCATCCCCCAAGGGCTCCTGCCCAGAGCACAGCCGAGTCCTTCCTGCCTGGCGGTGAACCACCCCCACCCTGGTGCTCGCTTGGGCCAGTGGGATCTTCCCCTGCAGGTACCCAGGCCCCCGGGAGGAGGGAGTCCCTGGGGAGGCGGCTGTCCCGGGGCGGGTGGGCTGGGCCCCATCAGCCCTTGGACCTGCTGTTTAAGCGGAGAAAGAGTGCTAGGTGGCAGGAAACCCGGGACCCCACACTGGGCTCCCATCACTTGCTCCCCTGGAAGCTCAGGGAGACAGGGGCCCCGGGAGGGAGCCTGCCTGAGGGACGGGGAGGTCCAGGCGGCTGGTCTGTGGACTCCGCGTGTGCCTGCCAGCCTCGCCCCTGCCTCCTCCCGGCCCGGCTGCTTCCCAGGAAGGCCCTCTCACCGCCCGTGTAACTGTCCTCGCTCCGAGTCCCCACGGCTGCCCCCAGGCCCGCGGCCGGCCAGCACCCGCCAGCTCCGGGCGGCCGCCCACCTCGGACTGTGATCTCCTTGATCCTTCGGGTCTTCTCGTTGATCCACTTCTCCCTGCGGACTTTTTCGGTGGCGCTCATTAGCTCTTTGAGTTTCTTAATCTCCTACCGGCAGGAAAACAGGCAGACGACAGAGGAGCTGTGGGGTGGGGCACGCAAACGCCCCCCGCCCCTGGCCAGGCCCCGGGTTTCGGAACGAGGGCTCCACAGGTGCCAGCTGCACTCCGTGCCCTCCCACCCCTCCAGCCATCTTGTTCACAAGCCCTGTGACTGACACTCCAGGGGCCGCCCTGTCTGGGTGGCCGAGCAGGACGCCCTCCACAGGCCAAGGGCCGCAGGCCCGGAGTGGGCGCAGGGCGGCAGGACAGAAGAGCTGCCCCCGGGGGCTCACCAGCTGGTGCTGCTCCCGCAGCTGGGCCTCCGTCTCCTTGTGCCTCTGGTCGCCCCGCCTCAGCTCGGCCAGCACGGCCTCGCACTTCTCACCCAGGAGCTTCTTGTCTTCGATCAGCTGCGATCGGGGGTGGGCGGTGCAGATGAGGCCCTGCCCCACGAAGAGAACCCACCTCCCCTTGCCCAGGGGCCAGCACGCCAGCAAGGGGGCCGCCACCCTGAGCCCCGCTGTCCCCTCCTGCCTGGGGCCTTGAGGGCTACGCTCCCACGGACAAGGGGCTGCCGCCACCACGGGTCTCACCCCCCCACCACGGGCCTGGCTGGTGCCAGCGAAGCCCAGGCGGGGGCTGCTGGGATGGGGGCCTCGCCGACAAGCCCTCCCTGTGGCCACGTCATCTTCCTGGGAAGGCGGTCACTCCATCGTCCCCGTCACACGGAGGGCTCTAGGCAGAGCCCCAGTTTGTATATATCTGTGGCCGCCAAGCGGTGTCCCTAACGGCCACTGAAAGTCACTTGGAGCCTCTGGCTCCGGCCTCTCCTCACGGGCCCCACATCTAGCGTTTTGTCCAGAATAGGACTCGGGGGAGATGCAGCTGAGCGCAGGCGGGATGGACGCTTCCATGGCCCTCATTTGGGGAGCTCTGGCTGTCCACTGGCCCCAGCGGACAGGAGGAGCCCCCAGATCACGGGCGGCCCCGGAAGCACTGAAAAGGCTCAGGGTGTGTGTCCTGTTGGACATCTCCCACCAGTTGGTCCTCTGGGTGCCCCCACCCTGGGTGTGCCGTGCCCACCTGCCCCGCCACACGCCCACCATGCTGGGCTCGGGGGGCAGGCCCTGGAGGGAGCACCCAATAGGCTTCACACCAGCCTATCAAGTGGTGGACACCTCGTCCCCACAGCAAAGACACTGCCTGTTCTTGCAGAAGAGAGGAGGCCAGCAAGGAAGGCGCGGGCCTGGAAGTCCCGATGAGGCCTCAGCCGCTCTGCAACGGGTCCCACCCCTGTCCCTGACCTCAGGGGTCCTGACACCCCTGGCCCGGCGCCCCACTTCCCAGGCGGTGTCACCTGGTCGATAAAGGACAGGTGCCGCTGGATGGTGGCCTCGTAGTGTTCCTTTTGCTGCCGCAGCTGCCGGCCCAGCTCCTTCTCCGTCTCCTTGACCCGCCGGACGGTGAGGTCCCGCTGCTGCGCCTGCAGGGGTGCGGGAAGGGGAGACGGGGGACAAGGCCCGCTCAGGGGGTGGCCCGGGGCAAAAGCAGTGACCCCCGGCAGTGGCGGGCGGTAGCGGGCAGCGACGGGGCGGAGGCGTTACCAGCGCCCTCTGCAGCAGCACCAGCGCCTGCTTCTTCTCCTCCACCTCCAGCTTCAGCCGCATCGCGGACGTGTTCACCTCGGACGCGGACTCCAGGCGCCCCGTTCCCTCCTCCAGCACGAGCCCCTGAGGACGTGGCGTGTGTTAGGCAGGCCCGGACACCTGGGAAGAACCTGCAGTCCTGTCCCTCCCTGGGGACCCCGCCACACCTGGGGGGCCGAGGCCGGCCAGTCCTGCCCCGATTTCTCCATCTCATCCAGGAAGCTCATGATACTCCGTAGCTTGGCCTCCGAGAGCAGTGTCCCGTCCTCGGGGCGGCTGGCAGCTGCACTGAGCTTCCCGAATTTCTCCAGGTTGTCGGCTGTCAGGGAGCTAGCATCGTCCTCCTGTGGGGGAGGGGCACAGCACTGGGGGCTGTCGGTCTGGACTCTGGGGTGCCCTTCTAGGAG